AAAACAGAGAAGATTATTAACCTTTGTCACCTTGATTGGGAGAGAAAAAAGAGGCCTTTATGTAAATCATATGATCTTATTAGATTTGTTTTTGAAATTGAAATTTCCATTCAAAACATATCAAAGCCAATCAAGATAAAAAGATGGGAATTTACACCATTTCTATTAGTCTTTTGTCTCAAAGAACTAGTAAAGGTCTCGATTTATCATCATATATATTGGAGTTTGAAAAGGCTTGAAAATTGTTAAGTAAATCAAAATAACAATTTATTAAGTGTTTTAGGCTGATATATTTAATAAAATCATATCATATATTTATAAAATCAAATTGCTTTAATTTTTAATAAATAATTTATACACATATTTTCACAAGAAGGTAATTTAAAATATCAAACTGAACTTTTCTTCAACTCGATAAAAGCAAGATTTATTTTGAAACAATAACAAGGGCACAATTCATTTTTCTCCCCCTCAAATTGTCCTACAAGCGAAAGGAAAAGGAAAAGGAAAAGAAAGTGACTCCAAACAGGGGATAACAAAGGAATACGTCATTTTTTAATCCCAAATCCCAAACACTTGTATAAAAGAAAATGAATTGGGCAGGGAAACACATCACAAATCTAATTTCAATCATTCCAGTTATTTATTTTTTAGATCACTTTATATAGATCATTTATATATAGAAAATCAAATTAATCCAATATGTGTAGTTACATAATTTATCTCATTTTTCTTTAGAATAATGAAAGACAAAAATAATTTAAAAATAAATTGTACATTTTATTGAAAACAAATATAATAAAATTATATAATTATAAATATTAATTTTTTGTGTAAATAATCAATACAAAATGACTTGAGATATAAATGACTCAAATAATCCAAATAATAATGGTAAGATACGAATCCAAAATACGGTCAAATCTTGACAGGCCTTTTATAAAAAGAAAAATATTAGAAATTTAATAAAATTACCAAAAAAAATTTAGGCCCCATTTGTTTGGGGATTATAGGAAGGGGATTGAGACTACTAATACCTTGTGTCACGCCCGACAATTTATTGACACAAGGAGCAGCTGGGCAATATGCTGAAGGCGCTGGAAGGTTCTGGAATGTGGGAGACCAACCTAGAGTATGCTGGAAAACTCTAGAACGTGGTAGAAGGGTCTAGAGTGGCCTGGAAGATTCCGGAATGTGGAAGAGGCTTGGAGTGTCCAGCAGAGCCTGGATGGGTCTGGAACATCCTAGATTATCTTGGAGAAGCCTACCATGTACTACACTAGTGTGGAGAGTTCTAGATTGTAGTAGATAGGGTAGTTGTCCTAGATAGTTCTTGGAATGTTCTAGATAAGAGTTTGTAGCCCTTGGATCAAAATGATCTGAGCCGTCCATTGAGGAGGGGGATGGCTATATAAGGGTGAGGGATCTCATTTGCTAGGCAACCTAGAGACCTGGAGATCCAAGAGAGCTCTAAGAGTGAAGCACTTGTGAGTGTGAGTGTGAGAGCCTTGTAAGCTTTGTACACGACTATACTTGTAAATGTTAACTTGTATAGTGAAGGCATTCTTCCACCTAAACTGTGTGTGTTAGTGTGGTTGAGTGGCATTTTTCCACCTAAACAGCGTGCGTTAGTGTGGTTGAGTGGGTAAGGCTGACTTAGGTGCAACCAAGAGGGTTGAGAGGCATCTAAGGCCGCACGGTAAGCTTGCGAAGTCTAAGTCTGTGACAGTTGGTATCAGAGCAAAGGTGTACATGGCTACGTCTAGGCAACGAAGGGAACTCCCCAGAGTGGAGGAAGCTCTCAACGAAGGAGTCGATGGCGGCATTGGAGGCGCGACTCGAGGGGATGATGGAGAGTGTGGTAGAGCGGTTCACTAGGCTTGAGGATGCGCTAGTTAGCCTGGTAAGACCACATCTCATATCAGTGACTTTTCTCCAATTTTGCTAGTTTGGTTGCTAGGGTGGAGATGCTGGAGGAGAAGGTAACCCAGCAGAAGGCCCAGGAACAAGAGTAGCTAGCTTGGAGTTAGAGTTGGAGTTGTGCAAGAAGGCCATCGTCGCTGGCAATGGAGGGAATTTGGCTCCAGCCAGGAGGAAGGTTCGTGCGCCTAAGAGCTATGAGGGTGCGAGGGATGCCCGAGAAAGCCGTGCCAAAGGTGGGAGGAGTCTCCTCAGACCACCGAGGATGAGCACAGTGAGGGCGAGGCCCAGAAAGACGGGAACGCCGAAGGAAGGGGCAACGCACCGGATCTCCGAGGAATGGGGGTAGCTTGAGTGTTACCTGTGCAACAAGCTGCACATGGTGAGAAACTGCCCGAAGAAGAAGAAGCAGCGAGTGCCATAGAAAGGAAGGGAAAGAAGGAGGCGAGGGACTCCGAGAGTGAGACCTTCAGAGAAGGTGGCCCAGCTGGGGAGCATCCAACTTCTTGGGTCGATATCCCAGAAGGGTGGGGAGGTGCACATCCAAAAGAAGGATGAGCGGTACGCGGAGGTGAAGGCCAAGGAGGAAACTTCACATGCGCAAGAGGAGAGAGGTGCACTCTAAGGTTTGAGTGCACTAACGAGGCTAAGAGGCTGGGCTTGAACTGAAAGGGCGGCTCGAGTGTTTCCTGTGCAACGGACCGCACATGTGAAGGACTGCCCGGAGAGGAAGGCACTTGTAGGAATGCAGCAGAGTAGGTTGCTTGGCAAGGGCAAAGAGAAAGCACTTGCAGGGATGCAACAGAGTAGGCTGTATGGCAAGAGCGAAGAGGCAAGCTCCAGCAGCAGCGGACACAGATCATATCGAGACGTGGTGGCTCGGTATGCTTCTGCGTGACGAGGGCGTACGGGATTGGGTGGGGGAGATGTCACGCCCCGACAATTTATGTGACACAAGGAGCAGCGTGGGCAATATGCTGAAGGCGCTGGAAGGTTCCGGAATGTGGGAGACCAACCTAGAGTATGCTGGAAAACTCTAGAACGTGGTAGAAGGGTCCAGAGTGGCCTGGAAGATTCCGGAATGTGGAAGAGGCTTGGAGTGTCCAGCAGAGCCTGGATGGGTCTGGAACATCCTAGATTATCTTGGAGAAGCCTACCATGTACTACACTAGTATAAGAGTTCTAGATTGTAGTAGATAGGGTAGTTGTCCTAGATAGTTCTATGGAATGTTCTAGATGAGAGTTTGTACTTGGTCAAATGATCTGCTGTCCATTGAGAGGATGCATATAGTATGAGTTCTAGATTGTAGTAGTAGGTAGTTGTCCTAGATAGTTATGAATGTTCTAGATGAGGTTTGTAGCCCATGATCAAATGATCTGAGCGTCCATTGAGGAGGGGATGCTATATAAGGGTGAGGGATCTCATTTGCTAGGCAACCTAGAGACCTGGAGATCCAAGAGAGCTCTAAGAGTGAAGTACTGTGTGAGTGTGAGTGTGAGAGCCTTGTAAGCTTTGTACACGACTATACTTGTAAATGTTAACTTGTATAGTGAAGGCATTCTTCCACCTAAACTGTGTGTGTTAGTGTAGTTGAGTGGCATTCTTCCACTTAAACTGCGTGCGTTAGTGTGGTTGAGTGGGTAAGGCTGACTTAGGTGCAACCAAGAGGGTTGAGAGGATCTAAGGCCGCACAGTAGGCTTGCGAATCTAAGTCCGTGACACTTGGTATTACTAATATCTTGTTTTTTTGAGAGATGGTTTGGGACTACTAATACATTGGTATTACTAATACCCTTGAAAGGGGATTCATAGTGAGGAGGTAGAATGGTATTAGAAAAAAATAGTAAGGAGATTAAAATTTTTTTTATTTTTATATATTGAGAATTTTTTTTAAAAATATTAATGTTTAATTTTTTTATTTATTTTATTATTTTATATAAAAATAATTTAACAATTCTTTATTTTAATCCTTCACTATCTAATTTTCATTATCAATCCCTCACTAATAATTTCCTCCTGTTACCCTAGAATCCATGCTCGTATGAAACTCATACTATAGAAGTGTTTGATAAATTTTTAAAAATCAATCGATTACCGGTTAACAGGATCGGAAGACCAAGGAAGAATCCTAACACAGCACGATATGGGTCAACCACGTAACAACACGTCTCTCTAAATTTTTTAAAATTTCACAACATGGGACCCAACAAGTCAAAGATAGACCAATCACAAGCGAGCACTCTCTGAGACCAGACCTCTCAGATTCTCTGCTCTCTCTCTCTATAATTCATTTCCTCACCCAAATTCCAATTTCTCCTTTCTCAGCACCTACAATAAGCAGAGGAGGATCTCAGAGGTACTCTCTCTCTCTCTCTACATCGTTTTCATCTATGTATGTATCTAGCAATCAATTTATCTCTATCTCAACATGTCTATATGTATATATATGTGTGTGTATGAAACTGAGTTGTTATCTGATTTTGGAAGCTAGGGTTTGGTCATGGCTTCGAAGCGAATCTTGAAAGAGCTCAAGGATCTCCAGAAAGATCCTCCTACCTCTTGCAGCGCAGGTACGATCTCTCTCCTCCTTTTAGATCTCCAAGTCCTGATCTTTTTCCATCTAAGGGTTTTGTGAATTTGTCTGGATATGAGCTATTTTGCTTTGAATTGTTAGGGTTTAGATGGAATGGTGGTTTTGATGTTGACAAACGTGATGATTTGGTTTTGAATTCTGTCTCAAACGCATGAATTGAGTTGAATGTTGATATCTTTTGAGATCTCGGGGTTCTAGTTGAGGAAATCAATTTTGACTCTCAGTTATGTGTGTCATCCTGTGCTGCATGATACTAAAGTCTAGATTTTTAAGGCATCGTCTACTGAGAGCTGAGGTCCTGGTTGGTTAAATAGGTGTTCTCTTTACTGTTTGCTTCTGGTGAGTTTTACTTTGCCAATTCAGAACTTGACAAGGGTTGTGACTTATCCATCCAAGGAACATTTTACTAATTGCAACTCGTATCATGGATTTTCTGTTTTCCCTTCTATAATTTGTCGCATGCTTTGTTGTTTATTTCACCTCTCAAATATTGAGAGCACATTCAGTTGTCCCATTGAAATCAAATTGTTCAATTGTGCTTTTCCTGGCATTCTGAACAGATCTAATCAACTCAATGGAGCCTTAAACAAGTCTTCTTCAATTTTTGAGCTACGTGGAGTGCTATGTTAGCAGTTAAATGATGACATTCATATATAGGCTCATTGGTGTTTTTGCCATATTTTTGTTATCGTTCTCTTTAACCTTGTGACTTGTTCAACTTGGTTGTCCTGTATTTTGTTCCATATGGTAATATGGTATAATAAGGATTATAATTGTCAAATAAAAATTTTTCTTTGACTTAATTGGTTTTCAATGATTAGACTATTCTGGTATACCTCTCATCTTGCTCTTATTCTATAGTGAATGTCCTTTGCATGGGTGAATGTCACGTTTGGGTACATCTTGGCATTTGATTTGTACTATTACTTGTTTTTATTATGGAGAATAGGTAAAATGTCACTTTTGGCAGTTGGTTTTTACTATTTACTCGTTTGTGTTCCTGTTTTTATCAAATTTCTTGTACATGTTTTGGATACATTCCTTGATGTAAGCTTGTCACCATTTTAATTACTCTTCTTTAGTTTATTTAATAACTAGAAGAGTACAAACTTGTTGTTGAACATGAAATATGCCATCGTACATAGCAACGATACTTTGTAATATTCATTTATCTCTTTTTAAGTGCCATAGTCATCTTCAATTTGTAATGAATTCTTAAATTGATCTTTATTCATATGTAATTTTTTTATTATTTTTTACTTATACCAATTGGATCTTTATTATTTTTTCCTTTTATCAAGTTTGCATTTCTATAATATATACATTCTTTGAATAAGTGATACACAAGCAACATTATTCATGGCAAACAACGGATGTTGATTTTTCTGACTTGTAGATATGAGTGGACTTTGACATGGTGTACATAGTTGGGTGACCTAGTACTTTTTTAGAACATATAAATGCTGTGTACTATCGAATTTGAACTTGACATTAGTTTCTTATTTAGGTAAGTCATATGTGATATGTGCATAATACTCATTGACATAACTCTGATAAAGTTCAAATGAGTGTGTATATTTGGCCATACATAAGTGTGCATGTGAAACAAGGGCTCTAGAATGTAAGTTCAGTAGTTTATTCCATCTATTTATTTTTCCTTTTGTATATGTATTGATAGGCCCAGTTGCTGAAGACATGTTTCATTGGCAAGCAACAATTATGGGTCCTCCAGACAGTCCTTATGCTGGCGGAGTGTTTCTAGTTACTATTCATTTCCCTCCGGACTATCCATTTAAGCCACCTAAGGTATTGTGTCAATTCTGATTTGTTGAAAAATGGGTGATACATTTTCTGTTGTTTCTGTTATGCCCATATTTAAGGTTCTCTTTGGTATCCTTCAGACATTTTTTGCTCCAAAATTTTAATATATACAGGGGCTTATGTTTTGTGTGTTGTGCTGCAGTGTAATCATTTTTAGTGTTAAGTGTACTTGACTTCAATTTTATTTGATTAGTTTTTTAATTTAAGAATGTTATGGTAGGAAGATATAGGTTATGTTTGGTAGAGTTTTAGAATTATAATTTGAGAATAGAGTTGTATTTTGAGTTTGTGAGTTTTGGAATTATGATTTAAGTGTGGAAAATTGGTTTGGTTATGAGTTTTGAAAAGAGTTTGAATTGAATGATGTGACATATGATATTGAAAAGTGCGTGTTTTAAAAAGTGGGTGTGGAATTAATTTTCTAAGCTGTAACCAAACAACACACTCAAATTAAGGAGTAGAATTAAACTTCAAAAATCCTACCAAACGGAGCCATATTTTTTTTTTGTGATAGGCAAAATGTTATAGTTTTGTTAGTAGATTTTTACATCAACGATATATTTCTCTTTTGTTTAACCTTGTTAAGTTCAAAAACTTCAAAATAATTTCAACTAGTGTGTTGATTGCTTGCCATGAGACTACTAGCCTCGTGCAATCACAAAACAGTACCAAAAGGAATTGAGTAACACTTGTCTCTTGCACTCACAAAACAGTGCCAAAAGGAATACAGTAACATAACACCTGGATTGTCACTGCTCTAGAGTGATTGATTGAGCATCATAAGAAGCGAAACTTAAAAAATGATTACTGGAGTATATTATACCCAGAATAATATATGCCTCTAATGATTTTCAAAAACCTTCAATGAATATATATGAACTCTATGAACTGGGTACAGATTAAGTTCCTTGTTTTCTTTCTTTCTTGACTCTTCAATTGCAGCAATGAGTGAAGTTCCTCATTGGCATTTCAGTACTAGGGTATTAGTATTTAACTTATTTAATTTAGCATTAGTGGAGCATGGATTTTTTTAGATGGGATCTTTTATATACCCTTTGGAAAGAACTTTTCTCGAACTAATCAGAGTAGATTGCCAAATCTTGTGTGTTTCATTCATGTATTTTAAATTTGCTTTAATTGTTGAAGATTTTGTTCTTCTTGTTAGTTGTTATGTTTATGTTCATTTTTTAGAAGAAGAGATGAGCAAATATGTAGGTTGATTGTCATTCACAGACAGGCCCGGCCCTGAGATTTCCGAGGGCCCAAAGCCGATAATTAACTAATAAATTTTTGGGGCTCTTCACATTTTTTTTTTCATTGAATGAAAAAAAAAAAAATTAAAAGTAAAGGACAAAAGATTTGTGTCAACATCATAAAAAATACTTAAGTATTACATTACAATAACTAATAAGTATCTCTTGATTCTCACTGTTCTTGTATTTTTAGAAGCAAATAAATTAATCATACTTGCATAATCTAATTTTTTGCAAAATCATTTTTAATGAATAACAATGTTAATTATTTTAAATGGGCCTTTCAATTTTTTAATGGAATAATTTATTTTAAGTTAATTTGGGCCTTCCTTAATTTTTTTTGGACTTAAAATATACTTAATATATTAGACTAAACTATAAAAAGAGAGACTCTTTTTTGGGTCTATTTTCAATGGATAACAATACTAATTTTTTTGAATGGCCTTTCAATTTTTTAATTGGTCAATTTATTTTAAGTTAGTTTGGGCCTTTTTAAATTTTTTTAGACTTAAAACATACCTAATATATTACACTAAATTATAATAGGAAGGGGCCCCTTTTTTGAGTCTATTTTGAGGGGCCCTAGGCCATGGCCTTGTGGCCTATGCCCCAGGGCCGGCTCTATTCACAGATATGCAAACGTTAATGTATTTGTTTCAAACTTTAAACCTAAAGAAAGAAATTCAGAAAAGATGTAGACTATACATCTTGTGGAGGATACTAGTGGTTGCATATATGTGAGAGTTTGAGATCATATTTTATGTGGTACACTTTTCCTTTCCCTGTTATTGCTTGAATTATGTTTTCCTATTATTTGTGCACTTACAATTTTTTGTTGTTCATGTGTGTGCACATGGCCTTGTGTTACATCATACTTGATTGATACTGTATCAATATTGATACAAGTTTTCTTAGAATCTTGACCAAGCCAAATCTAAAGACCATGGTCTTCATTAATGTTTTATAATTTCCTTGAGTACGTTGCTTGAATTGTTCTATTTACTTTGGATTGTTTTGGCAGGTTGCATTCAGGACAAAGGTTTTTCACCCTAACATCAACAGCAATGGCAGCATTTGTCTTGATATTTTGAAGGAACAGTGGAGCCCTGCACTTACTATTTCCAAGGTGATTGTTCTGTTACTCTCAATATGCTTTTTGTTGTTTAAGATCATGGATATATATTCATGATCTTTTTGAAGTCTTGACTTACTGCTTTCTATATGTTTTTACCATGCTAAGCATTGTGATCTTCACTAACCCAATTATTGGGTTTTGGGTTATGGTGCTATGAACAAGAGAACTCCACTCATACACACTGAGCTTTAGGTGGGTTTGTTTTCTGTTTATTGAGATGAAGAGTTTACCATGCAAAATGAATTTTTAATGTCTTCAACAAAATGGAAGGGTTGATCTTGGGTATTTTGTGACTTTGTTAGATAGATTCCCATGGCTTCCCATTCACGTGTTGACATGACATGGGGAAGGGTATGGTATGGGGTATGTTTTTGATACTAGTACTCAAATATGATACCCTGATCCTCTACATGTAAAGATGCAAGATCAGTGGCAGCTCAGATTTTGTGCAAGAGATCTTTTTTGCTTCTACATTGAGGGATGCATCTAAAATACACTGCCAAAAATTCTCTTCACAACCACCTTCGTGAAGCCCATTTCCCCATTCATAGAGAGAATGCTTGGTGTGAAGAGAAATTGTGTGGGTATACTTAGAAGCACTCTACATGTATAGAGTGAAGCTCCCTTCTTCCAGCACATCTCATAATTCCCATTCACGGTCATGTATTATATATCCTAAAATAATAATGGCAGCCACTATGATCTCATATAGAATAAAAATATGTTTTTATTTGTGTGGGGTGCGCCCGCTTACCAGTACTCAACTTTCAAACACATTCCTAGATTGTAAGATTTGGGGTTCTAGTATCAAACACCTACTATTGAGATATGTATCCAAAGTCCACATGACAGATCCATGAGATAGTTGTATTTCAAGCAAGAAGATTAAAATTATGAATACCATGGGTCGTATCCTGTCCTGTGGATCCATCAGAGCTAGCTGTATTGAGATATGTGTCCAAAGTCCGCATGACAGATCTATGAGGTTGTAGTATTTCAAGCAAGAAGATTAAAATTATGAATACCATGGGTCGTATACTGTCCCGTGGATCCATCAGTGCTAGCTAATCGGTATGATGTGTTATTGTTACTGGTGTTAAGACAAGATTAAACGATTTTGTTTTTCATGTGCAGGTGTTGCTCTCCATCTGCTCTCTGTTAACAGACCCGAACCCAGATGACCCTTTGGTGCCAGAGATTGCACATATGTACAAGACAGACCGGAGCAAGTATGAGACAACCGCCAGGAGCTGGACCCAGAAGTATGCCATGGGTTAAGGTTGGTGCTGGAATTGTATCACAAGAGGGGCTCTCTCTCTCTCTTCCTTTACCTTTGTGACTTTGTTCTTTATTTTTATATATTATCTAATATCATGTATGAATGTAGTGTGAACTGTCTGTTGTAAGATGGACAAAAAAGGTAAAGGTTTGATATGCTGCTGCCCCTCCCCTTCAGAAACACTGCTGTGTTTAAATTGTTTGTATGGAAATCTGTTTAAACTATGGAGTCTGTTTCAAAATATTCATGGTCTTTAAACAATAATGCTGTTTTGAATCTTGAATTTGTCAAGGAAAAGGAAAATGAAATTTCTTATTCATTAGTTCTTGAGTAACCAATGAAAAATGAAAGGGAAATGAAGTTACTATATGTTTTTTCGTTCACAACCAAAACATAAAATCTAGAAAGTTTAAAATTCTAGAAAGGTGAGGTGTAGTTTTGATTAGACACTTTTATAATATTAGGATAAATTACATTGACATCCTTGAAATTTTTATTTAATATAAAATTTTTCTTTTACGTTTGAAAAATTATATTTTTCTCTTTTGATATTTGTAATTTCATTGTAAATTGTCCTCCATATAGTTGATATCATGTTTTAAAATTTTTTAAATAACCATTGTGGATATGTTTGATTTGAGTTTTAGAGATAAGTTTTAGAAAAAAAATTCAAAAAATTGTTTGATTTGAGATTTTTTTCAAAAAATTTTCAAGTCACTCTCTTTCTTGTACATCAATTAATCACTTTATTTCTCTTCTCTTCTTTTCAATTATTTTTTTTCTCACACATATCTACTCAATTACAATAAAATATCAAATCATCCTAAACTCTCAAATTCTAAAACTATTTTCAAAATATACAACCAAACAAACCAAAAAAATTTTTAAATTCTCTCGCCAATTTTTTTTTTTCAAAAACAACTCTCTCAAAAACAAACCAAACGAGCTTTGTCTTTTTTTTTTTATACCATGTCTTCTTTTTATCATCATAATTATATTCTATAACTTTCTATTATTAAATTTTATTTGAACATATTTTTATTGAGTGATGATATATAAATATAAATTTATATAAAATTTTCAAACATAATAATATAACTTAATGGTGATCTTTCACTTTAAAACAAAAATATTCATAAACATGATTTATATTTATATCATTATTACAATATTTTTATGATATTTTTTGTATAAATTTTTATATATAAATAGAAATTTTCATTTTTATTTTTACCATAATTTTTTTTTTCTCATCTATTCATCCACATTTATTACCTCATCTGTTCATCCACATTTATTACAGTATTATCAAACACCGTCATTCACATTTATTATAGTATTATTTATTTTTTTTTATTTTTGTATTTGGTGAATTTAAAACGAAAATACAAAATATTATACTTCTTAAGTATATTTAGATTAAGTGTATTTAAAAAATAAAAAAAAATTGTTGAAAATATTAAAAAAGTCAATAAAAATAAAATAAATGAAAAATAAAGAAATTTAGTTTTTTTTGTGTGAATTAAACCAAAAAAGATAATTACTATTTTTTTTGAAATAACATAAACAAAATATCATTATTATTTTATCTATACTAGGGGTGGGCGCGGGTCGGTTGCTGCTACGGAACCTCCAATCCGTCATCCGTCCGCCAGATTGAAGAAAATTAATCCGCATCCGTCCGCCAATCCGGCGGATGTGGATTGAGCGGATTGGCGGTTTGGCAGTTTGGCGGATGGATGCGAATCGGTTTGGCGGTTTAAAATTTTATAAATTTTCAACATAATTCAACTTGTGTACTTTCTCAACAAAAAAGAAGAAGAAGAAGAAGAAGAAAGTATTATAGTTAATGACTTAAAAAATATTACAATTACTGTATGCCTTATCCAAAGTAAGAAAGTTTGAAACTTCAGAATATCACAATCAGTGCATGCCTCATCCATGTACTACAATCACAGTATGCATCATCTACATAAAGTGTTACAATTTGTGGTTCTTAAAATATAAAAACAATTCAAACCATCAGTAGCAGAGATTGTATGTCTTTGTATTGTTACATCTATATCTGTTTTTGAAAACAAAAACCAACCAGCATATATCTTATTTTCTATTTATTATTTTTAAAGATAGATTTAAAAACCAAAAAATATAAATAAATAATACGTTTACTTTTTTCAATTTAAAAAAGATATTCAAGTTGAAAACTTTTTTTGAACATAATATTTAAATAAACTGAAAACACAAAGTTTTATAAATTATTAAGGGTTTTCGTGGTTTAGCCGTTCGGTTGCGGCCAAAAGAATCTCAAATCCGTCATCTATTCGCCAGATTGGCGGATTGGAAAAAATCAATCCGTAACCGTCCGCTTGTCATCACGCATCTGTCCAAAATGAGACGGATCGGTATATCTGCTGCTCACCCATAATCTATACTATATATTAAGCAAAAGGGATTTTTAACCCTCAAGGTCTGTGGGAGTTTCAATATCCCAATCTGAATTTTCTAAATTTTTTATTTTAAAACAAAAAAATCAGCATTTATTGATTTGATCAAAATCTCCTTATTAGCATTTATTAACTTTTTTTAATCTACATGTCTTTCCACATGCCTGCATTTATTGATTTGGTCAAAATCTCTTATCAGCATTTAAAATCCCCTCATACAAATAATTAATTATAGATAAAAATCCATGTATAATTACTGCAGTACCCTTTTTAACTTCTCCTATACACTATGGTTAGTGATAAGATTGTTAAATTATTTTTTTAAAAAATCTTAAAAAACATAATTTATATATTAAAAAAATCTAAAACAAATATAAATATGTATGATTATCCCGTGCATAGTACGGGTGATAGACTAGTTATTTTATATGTAAAAAGACTACAAATTAAATATATCATTTTCATCTGATGGAAGAATAAGTGTAATTTTTTTAAATGGAAGAATGATTTATATTCAATTAAAATTTTAGGGGTGCGAGTGTAATTTACCCTTTATAATATATGAAATATATCCCAAGTGATAACTTTGTCATATTTTTCTCTTCTGCTGGTAGAGATTAGTTATAAAGTGATAAAATTTACTCCGAAATCTATTTGAAAAAAGGAACGTGCAATCTGAATTGGACTCTTGTATAAACACTTAAAAATGAATTTGAATCACGTATCATTTTTTCTTTTCCGGAATATTTTTCTTAACATATTTTCTAATCCTGACATTGTTCCCTCTGGTATTGACAACTCAACGGTAAACGATGTCGGTATACAGTGTCATGCTAGCAGTAGACGACTTGCGAGCAGAAACAAGTTTGTCAATTTGAAGGGTTATCTAGTTCAATAATAAATAAATAAATAAATTTGAAGGGTTATTTAGATGAAACCTTTAAAATATTAAAAAGTATTGTTTAAAATTTTTGAATTATAAAAACGTACAGATAGACTTCTTAAATTATTAAGAAGTATCGTTTTATCCTTTAAACTATCAAAATATACAAATGGACTCCTTACCTTATAAATGTACTAATTGGACTTTTTAATGGAAAGAGTCAAAGTGAAATAAGTCAATAGTTTAGAAGTTTATTTGTATATTTTTATAATTTAAGAGACAAAACGATACTTTTTAATAGTATAGAAAATTTATTTGTACTATTTTATAATTTAATAAGTCAAAATAATATTTTTTAATAATTTATGGGATCTTCAGGTAAATAATTCCAATTTGAATTTAGGATCTTTTGTGAGGTGATTATTTTAGTAAAAAAATGTCAAAGAGTTAAAATATTTAAAAAATAAAACTTATACCAAAAAAAAAAATCAAAAATTCATTTTTATTCCCTCTATTAAGTCAATATTTCTTCTTATTAACGCAAAACTACATTGTAAAAAAATTCACTTCCCAAAATCCAAGGCATTTACAACGTGATGATATATGTACATGTAGGTCTCTCTCTGCACAAAATGCCAACTCTCATGGGGACAACAACAACAACAACGATCAAAAATAGTAGAGCTATAAAAGCCTGCCCTGCCAAAGGGTAGGTCTGCTGCTTTCTGTTTCCAACCACCCCAAAAGAAGAGTTTTGACTCTCCATTATTTTCAAGGCATAATAATGCAAAGAAAATTAGGGTTCGTTTGGTTTGAATTTCGGAAAAATTTTTGGGAAATTTTCTCTACAAATAAGTTTTTAAAAGTAATGAAACCAAACAAATTTTCTCAAAAAAATTTCTCAAAACTTGTAAACCAAACAAGTTTTCCAAACAAATCTCTTTCTCACACACATCAAATCAATCACTTTTTCCAAAACTCTCTCTCAAAATAATTTTCCAAAACATCTTTTGAAAAAAACCAAACCAAACAACTTTAGTCAAAAAGTTACTTAAAAAGTTAAAAAGTTAACACTATTCATCAAAAGTCAACAATTACGGCTGCACAACTCTCAATTCAAATTTTTTCCTACAAATCAATTTTTATAATTTTTTATTACACATTTTTCAATAAAAAGTCAAAAAGTTAACCTAAACATCCATATTTTCAACCTCAATTTTTTAGTCCAAAAAGACAAAAAGTACACTTTTTTAGTCTTTCCAAACTTGGCCTTAGTATCCCCCAATACAGATATCGACCCGGTCCTAGTTGCACTTTAATTTACTTTAAATCTTTGTACCCTTTTTTTTTTCTGTACACTGACCTCATGCATGCTTATTTTCTCCTTTTTTGAGAATTGAAAAACAAAAATTATATATATATATATATATATATGCTTAGCTTACGAAAAAGGTATGAGGATGCGGAGTCGCTAATTGGTAAGGATGGCTAAATCTGCAACATATATATGTACAGTTTGAAAAGGAAAGTTGCGAAGCAGCGGGGATGGATGTACCTTCTTTCTTTCTTTCTTTTTTTTTTTTTTCCAACTAAAAATGAACACTTTATTGATGAAACTGTAAATGTAGCCGCTAAATAGAAAGATGGTGGTGGTTGAATATGTAACAAGTAAGAGAAAATATAGGGATCATGAAAAAATTTTCATGAAACTGGTCATGAAAAATTTATGACCCTTGGATTACCTTGATTAGTATGTAGTGCTTTATTTTAAGTGTAATCCAAAGGTCATAAATTTTTCATGATCATTTTCATGAAAGTTTTTTCATGATACCTAGCATTGCTCAACAAGTAATAAGAGATACAAATAAGAATTTATAAAATTTACATCAATTGGACTATAAGTCTTGAGGTATATACATTTTCGTTTCTTGTTTGTTTAAAGAGAACGC